TAGGGATTTCAAAACAAACTACTGCTGGTCAAAAAATTGCAAACCGAAAGCCGAACAAGCAAACGGAACAGAACTCCCCAATCAAAAACAGGAAACAAACATGAAGTCACCACAACTGGCACGCATCCGTCTGTGCAACCCCCCCCTTCCCAGAAGGGGGACTGGGAGTTCCCAGACCTCCACACCAGCAACTCTCTCCAGTTCAAAGGCCGTTGTGATGGTGAATGGTCGATCGCTCTGGCTCCACTCTCTGCGCAGTGCTGCAGTGCGGTGTTGTTGCTCTGTATTGGGGGTGTGTGAGCCAGGAGTAACACAAGAGTACTGGGGCTGCATGCACCTAGGGCTACCTTCCCTAGGTGCCCCGTAAGTACTGCCTTTGCGGCTTAGTTATCTTCCATGAGCCGTTCAGGAGCAACTACCTCCGTGTGGTTCTGTCGCTGCTCGGAGATTGCCCGCCCTTGGGGGTTCAGCTGGGGTGGTTCTTATGCCTGTTTGCCCTTGGGTAGCCTGAGGTAGTTTCGTCGCTGGCTGGGGCGCGAGGTACTGTGCAGCTGTCTGATATACGCATAGCGACCGGTTCTGTTCACCTGGAGACGTTGTGCTTTTGTCTCGACTTTTTTTTTTTTTCGCGGGGTGCCCCGTTAACGGGGCGATAGGGGAAGGAGGAGGCTCGCGCTATTTGCTCTCGCCTGGTCCCACGATTCGTGAGCATTTCGGGTAGTTTCCTCCGGCCTGCAGTGGTGTTGGGTCGCTCCTCCTTTAGGGGAGATCGAGGCTGGCAGGGCAGGGCTCTTCCCCTGTGCTGTCAGGTCATCCAGGAATGGGTTCGCTTGGGGTGTGGTCGAATGACAACCTCCCTCAGGTGGGTTTCCCCGCCTGTTTTCAGTTCCGAAACGGGACTGTGCGGATATGCGATTCATACTGGACTTGTATAGTCTGAATCCCTGGGTCTTTTGCTCCTTCTTTCGGATGACTACTGTCTCAGGTCCGGCTGCTTTTGGCGCCAGGTGTCTGGATGGTGTCTCTGGACCTCCGGGACGCATTTTGGCACGTCACGAATCATCTGGGGTTCAGGAACTGGCTCGGTTTTGTTGTGGTGCAACAAGCTTACCGCTTGCGTTGCCTTCCATTCGGCTTGAATCTGGCACCTCCGGGTGAGCCGGATGAGGGGTGAGCCGGTCGGCCGAGCGGACAGCACGCTGGATTTGTGATCCTGTGGTCCTGGGTTCGATCCCAGGCGCCGGCGAGAAACAATGGGCAGAGTTTCTTTCACCCTATGCCCCTGTTACCTAGCAGTAAATAGGTACCTGGGTGTTAGTCAGCTGTCACGGGCTGCTTCCTGGAAGTGGAGGCCTGGTCGAGGACCGGGCTGCGGGGACACTAAAGCCCCGAAATCATCTCAAGATAACCTCTCAAGATAACCTCGAGTGTTCACATGCCTAATCTGAGTCGTGGTGATCTGTTTGCACCTGTTAGGGGTTCAGGCTCTGGCTTACCTCGACGACTGACTGGTGTGGGCTCCTAGCCAGTCCGCGTGTCTGCTCGTCAGGGATTCTTTCCCAGCTCGCCGGGTTCGGGGTCTTGGTGAACTGCAGGAAGTCCCATTTGGTTCCCTCTCAGGTTCGGACTTAGTTGGGTCTTGTGTAGGACTCTCGGATCTCTTCCTTGTCTCTCCCTCCTACGACGCTGTTGCGGCTGCGGTCCCGCCTCCGGCTGTTTTTAGAGGGCACCCGGGTCACATGTTGGTTGTTTGAGCGGCTGTGCGGGAACTTGAACTTCGCAGTGCTGGTCTAACCATCGGGTCGGATCTAGCTTCGGCGGATGTGCTGGTTTCTTCAGAGTCGTCCTTTCCGTTGCTCTCCTAATCGATGGGTTCGGATCCCAGGACCCTTGCATTGGCTGCTGCGTTGCCGGCTTCCTCTGTGGGTTTTCGGGGTTCTGTGCCGTGGCGCCTCCCCGAGTCTTCGCTCGATGTGTTCGCGGATGTCACGTCTCTCGGCTGGGGTTTTGTGACAAGTGCTCACCAGGCCAGCCAGGGTCGGTGGGGTTAATTCTTCCGCCAAGCTCACAGTACGGCACAGGAGTTTGCGGCGTGTGGCATTTGCTTCGGAGGATTTGGGTCGCTCGAGGAGTAACAATCCGGCTCCATTCGGACTGCTCCCCGGTGGTTCATTGCCTGAACTGTGGGGGTTCGATGTGGTCCTTGGTTCTTTGGGGCTGGTCACTTCGGGTGACTCGTCTGCTGAGTTCTCGGGGTTTGGCTCTCTTGGCGGTTCATGTTCAGGGGGTGTCAAATGTCCTGGTGGACGGCCTTATCTTAACCCTTACCTTAATCCTAACCTTACTTTAACCTAACCTTACCTTAACCCTTAACCTTACCTTAACCCTTAACCTTACCTTAACCCTTAACCTTACCTTAACCCTTAACCTTACTTTAACCCTTAACCTTTCCTTAACCCTTAACCATATCTTAACCCTTAACCTTACCTTAACCCTACCTTAACCATATCTTAACCCTTAACCTTACCTTAACCTTCCCTTAACCTTACCTTAACCCTTAGTAGTAGTAGTAGGCATCCTTCAGTCTCGGAAGATTATGGAGTTGCGCCCTACAGGGTGCTAAGCCTGGGTAGGTAGATATGGAGGAGAAGCTGTTACCCATGCAGCAGGTCCCCCCTCTCCACATTGCTGAAATTATCCAATAGAAAGGCAAATGCCAATACACATGGTTCCAACAACGTCGCAGGAGCTGCCAGAACGAGGTCGACGTCAACAACGAACTGCCTTAGGGGCTCCAACTCCTGATTTTTCCTCGAGGTTGACTCCTGAAGCGTTTAAAAAAAAAAGGGGTGTGGCCGCAAGGCAGCGGAGGTTTAAAATCAGTGTTTTCCTTCCCCTAGATGGGCTGCCTTCCCAGGCTATCGAGTCCCCATCTACCCGGAGCAGCTGGTTTTAAGGTGCCAGAGGCACGCCCTCGCCCCTTCTTCTACCTTTAAAAGGGATTCCGCCGGACTTAAAGACTAAGCCACCCGTGCAGGCCAGGAGTTGGACTTGGTAGTCAGAGGCTATTGGAGATGTATGCCGTATAGGAGCATTTTATAGGTCATGGGAGCTCCTCCCCCATTACCACCCCCTGGCTATGACAACCCCTTGGAACCTTAACCCTTAACCTTACCTTAACCTTTAACCTTACCTTAACCCATAACCTTACCTTAACCCTTAACCTTACCTTAAACCTTAACCTTACCTTAACCTTATCTTAACCTCCCCTTAATCCTTAACCTCACCTTAACCCTTAACCTCACCTTAACCCTTAACCTCACCTTAACCCTTAACCTTACCTTAACTCTTATCCTCACCTTACCTTAACTCTTATCCTCACCTTACCTAACCTTATCCTCACCTTACCTAACCTTATCCTCACCTTACCTAACCTTATTTTTAAATTAGGAGATTTGCAAGAGTAGTCTTGCAATTTTTTTTCTTCATACTAAATATAAATAGTCCTTGCAACATAGTAAATACATCTTTATCCTCCCGAAGGTAACTGCTTTCTCTGACACACCCATTTTATCTTCTGTAACGCTTTGGTTGGTATCCTACCTCTGCCATTGTGTGCCCTTCCTCTTTGCCTGAGCCACAAGATCATTTTTTATGGCCATTCATTTTTTGCAATGTTTGTGTGTAGGATGTCCTGTCTGAAAATATTTGTTTAATTTTTTCAGTTGTAACACATCAGTTACATTTTTCAGATTTGTTAATTTTTCAGTTGTAATTTGTTCTCAGGGTGGGTCCCAGATGTGTACTTTCTTTTAGCTAGTTGAAAGATAAGGAATCTATGATAGTGCTCCTTATTTTAAAGTAGGACTTACGTAAGCTGTATATATATATCGCTTTGCAAGAATTTAAATTCTGTGTATTAGGGCCAGCTCAGGGTATTTTACTTAGGTTACCATTTTGGTAAAGGAATGATTAATTCCACATTTTTTCATTGATGACTTGGGATCAAAATTTGTGAAATAATTTTGTTGTAGTTTCATGCTGTAGATATCTTTCTGTACTACATGATGCTATAGTGTGTCCCTCTATTACTCTGAATTTTTCTTGGAGGGGTGAGGGGCAGTTGGCTCCTTGGCCCCCATGATTTTAGGAAATGGGTAATGATTGTTTATTTATATTGTACAGGTGCTGAAGGGTTTACAACAGAAGAGGACCAGGAGATGATATCTCGCATTGAAAAGCAACTGAAGAGGAGATTTGCAATTGGATCTCAAGTGTCAGAACATGCTATAGTTCAAGATTTCTTGAAACAGGTAAAATTCGTGTACCCAATTACCTATGTTTCAGGATGCAATACCTGGTTGATACCTGGTTGATGGGGTTCTGGGAGTTCTACTCTCCAAGCCTGGCCCGAGGCCAGGCTTGACTTGTGAGAGTTTAGTCCACCAGGCTGTTGCTTGGAGCGGCCCGCAGGCCCACATACCCACCACAGCCCGGTTGGTCCGGCACTCCTTGGAGGAAACAATCTAGTTTCCTCTTGAAGATGTCCACGGTTGTTCCGGCAATATTTCTTATGCTTATATACATATGCTTATATATATTTCTCTTTGGTGGATACCCCCTTCAATTTTTTGAGGGGATAATTCCTTCATGTAGAATGTTTGTTCATTCACTAAACCATGCACCTGAATTATTTTCAGAGTACATCACATAATTCGTATTTTTTTGTATTTAGGGCTATGTATGTTATGAGAAACTAAAAAGTTTTGGCTCACATTGATTGTTCTTTCGTTTGCATTCATTCAAAACAGGATTTAACCCTTACACAACTATAATCACTTCAGAGTGATTAGTGCACACGCTTCAATCACCTGGAGATGTTTTAAGGTACCCCATTTTATTTAACCCTTATGCTGCTGCTACAGCTTAAGAGGTTGGAATTGAGAAAATATTTGAATTATTTGAAAATTACTTAAAAATGTTAAACGTATCTCGAACTTATTCGCTTCAGTGTCGTGAAAGTTTCAACGCAATATTTTCAGAAATTAATTTTAGACAAATTTTTTAAAAAGAAGAGCATTTTTTTGTTGATAAGGAGAACAATTCCTATTACTGGAACTGAGGGATAATGCAGTAATAGAGAGATGTAAGCACCTGTCCGACACAAAAAGAATAATAATAATAGTAAGGAAGTGTCTACAAAGTGGATATGAAGCTGATTCCTTTATAGCATTACTGAGTAATACATAATAACACAAATAATAATGAATAAGTGTGTTGTTATGCTCGATTTTGTTATATATCATGTAAATACATTGCCAAATGTTAATGTTACTTTCACTAATGTCCAATAGATTTTTTTTTTTCTCCTTTGTTTATTATTTGGTTTTGTTTTAACCCCTACATCTTGGAGAGTGCATACCCATCCCTAACTATGTGAAGATAGAATGAAATTGGTCAACAAATAAATCGGTCACAACTGGAAGAACTTAGGACTTTGAACATTTTTTTGCTGATTTTTTCGCAGATTTCAAACTCTATTTTCTTTCTCTCTTTAAGTTGTTTTGATGATTATGGACCAGATTAAGGCTTTATCACTTATATAAAGTACACATATATATGTATCCCCTAAATCATTATAATTATGCCTATATTTTTTTATTTTTTGGGGGTTATTTTTTTTTACTTCATTTCAACATATATTGACCTACAACTTTCACATATTTGAGTACGAATGCCAAACAATGTTTATTAAATCATTCAAGTAAATTAGTGAATTAGAACTACCTTGTACATTGTCGATAACTTCAACTTCAATTATCTCTAAAACTAGAGTTTCAACTTTGAGTCAGCTTCAAAAAATCCAGTTTCTGACCGATTCTCACCATTTTTACATATAGTGTGCGCAGCTGTTTGTTCTACAATCCTATTAGAATGGATTTTTTCATGAACCCTAAACATTTGGAGTTATACATTTTGTTGTCTGAATTTGGTGCACATTTCAAATGCTATATTGACGATTTTTTTTTTACAGTAAACTAAACTGAAAATCTGTATTCTGTTTCTATTAAAATGAAGATCATATACTATTCTGAGACCATAATAACACTTAATGAACAATTGGTGGTATTTAATTTTTTTGCAGCTGATCTGAAAATCTTAAATTTTCAATATTAAATTTGATATTTTTAATTTTCTTGGTTTTCAAGTTACGTTGGTGATCATTTAGACAATTTGCCTAGTAGATTATGCACAAAAAATTTGAACGCGTTAGAGCAAGTTTGAGAAATTAAACTTATGGTACCATCGGGTCCTGTCATATATATACATATACGTCATGCACAGCTTAATGGTTAAAATATGAGTCTTACTGTGCGCCGAAAATTAACTCTTCGTAAAAAATTATTTTCTCTTATATTGTTAAAATGGACATTTTGCATAAAATGCAAATGCACATTGATATTACACAAACCGGGGTTTTACACAATTCCCCCATGCACCCAGGCTCTGTCAACAAGTAAAATGTAAGCTCTGTAAAACTCCAGTTTGTCTCTCGGAGAGGCTGCGGGATCCGTGAGAGAGCAGTAGCGCACTCGGTTGCAATTCTTTTACCATGTTGTGGCACAATCGATTAAGGCGCGTCTGGGATCATCCTGGACGTAAGTTCGAACGCTCAGCACTGCCCTTGTGGATTTGTTCATTTGATGTATCACGCTATTGTGATTTCTGTGTGTATTAGAGGGTTAAGTTATGAAGAAAGGCTGAAGGAACTGGATCTCGCAAATTTAGAGGACAAAAAATAGAGGAGATATTATGATTACGTACAGGATACTGAGGGGCATAGACAAGGTGGACAAGGACAGCCTCTTCAAGTTGAGAGAAGTTAGGACAAGACAAGTACAAGCTGGAATTGCGAAGGAGTTGAAGAAATATAAAGAAATTCTCATACCCTGTACGGGTGGTCAACAAGTGGAATGCACTAAGGGAAGTAGCTGTGGAAACCACCTTCATTCACAACTTTTAGGGGAAAAGTTTGTTAGAATAGTGAAGCATCAGGTATAACAAGGCTAGTTGGCATACAATACTGTAAGGCTTCCAAAAAGTTTACCACTGGATTTGTATGCATACCTAGTGGGAATATATTACAGGTTCTGTCAAATTAGAAATGCCCCCACCTCTTTATTTTCTCACTGACCTATAGACTTGCCATAAAGATTCTACTATTTACAAATGACCTTTCCTCTGCAGAAGTATCCTGAGCGTGCTGTTTACAAAGTGTTGCATTTCATGATTCGACGAGGAGAGTTGCAGCACCGCCTTCAACGGAAGATGTTGTACAGAATCAAGTAATTATGGTATCTTGAGGATAAAATTCATATTTCTTTCTAAACAATTATATGTAGAGTAAATTATAGTACAGTTGCTCTGCTCTACTATTTTGAAATATGATCAGTTAATTTTGTACGTTTACCTGCTTATGTAAAGTCTATTAAGAGGTTGGAAGTGAAGAAATTATAGAGCGGGTAAATGTTTGTAAACAACAAACTACAGTACTACATTTATAGTTTTATGTAAGTGATTTTTGTTTCTTTAATAAAATTTATTCATTGTTGGTCTTTGTTTCACACCATGTCATGATCAGTTTGTGTTAGGTAGCATTCACAAAAATATTTCAACCCATCCACCTATTTAGATAATACTTTTGTAACTATGTGGACCATCATACATACATAGACATAATGGATAATTCGATACTAGAATTTGGCACTATTCACTTTATAGGGTAAAAAATATAATGCTAAAAACCAAACTTAAATATGCCCAGGCCTAGTATAGCATATATATGTACTATATTAGGCCTCAGTTAGTGTGTATTAGGCTAGGTTAGGTCAAATTTTCTTTGCAACATCAGTACTTTAACTTTTCACGTTTGTCCAAATTCAGTAGTACAATGTATACTTTCTAATTGCCTTTTATGTCAATATATGTACGATGGTCCTTGTCATTACAATAAGTACTACCTAAACAGGATGTGCTGAATATTTGATGTACTGTAATTCCTGTTTGTCTAAACAGATTACTTAATTATTAGTTTAACCCTATAAATGATGGTTATATCATAACTGGTACCACAGCCTGTGTGCCCCAAAAAATAAAAATAAAAAATTTAATGCACAATTGAAAAGGCAAAAAACAAAAAACCAAAAAAACTTAAATATTAAAGTATTTTTAGGTCTCTCACAGATTGAGGGGAAACCTCGGTAAGGTGGATCATTGAGTTTGAGGACTCGTGCGACAGAGTTTTGCTGACAAATGTAAGTGTGTGGATTGCTCAAGTTAGAAGACTTGTGTTCCATATTTCACTTCAGTTTACACAATGTCTAATGTCTCTCATCTCATTTTTTTTCCTCGTCTTTTTTTTTTTTTTTCCTCATCTCATTTTTTTTTCTTTCTTGCAATGTATCTGTTATCATTTTATTAATTCTGCTAGAATTTATCTACTTAATTATGTGTTAGATTAAGGACCTGCCCGAAATGCTGTGTATACTAGTGGCTTTACAAGATTGTAAAGTACCATTCTATGTATTCTCACAAACCCAATGTACCTTGTATATAAATAAAAAAAAAGTGTGGAATATTACTTTACATATAATTAACAAAAACAGTGAGGGCTGTATATAGGCTCAAAATATAACATATTGCATGTTGACCTGCTCCTGGCATAACGCAATTGAAGCGTCTTGCAGACCACTTCTTTGTTGCTATTTTGTCTCGTAATGTTATCTTGAAATATATTCAAACACTTGACAGGAAATTACAAATTATGATTTGATAACTATAATACTAGTACATGATAATCTTATTGAAAGCAATTAAAATTGTTAGCAGAATTTTGTTAGTTGATCTAGGCCATGGGGTCCCCAAGCTCTTCAGCGTGTTGACCTGTTCATGAAATTTCAGATTGTTCATTGACCCCCATAGTTTATTATATGAAAATAATTTAATAAATACTACTTTAATTGTACTACACATAAAAATTAATAAATAAGTAAATATTATAGAAATAAAAGATAGTTATGCCTTTCTTTACAGAAATGGTTATCATTAATGGGAAGGATGCATAAGGGCTCTGACATTTGAAATTTGTGGCAGATTGTCATAAATAACTATGCTTTACAAGGTTTTTCTATTAGAGGTCTGTTCTTCTATTAGAATTTCATTTCCATGGCTAAAGCCAGCTTCAGCCATGCAGAAACACAGGAAAGCAAGTAAAACATGGGTCAACCACTGCATAGACAGGGATATTTAGGATTTCTAGGATTTCCTAGTAGGATTCCTAGTAGGATTTCAAGTAGGATACCTAGTAAGATTTCTAGTAGGATTTCTAGGGGGTTCCCAATAGGATTTCTAATGGGTTTGTAGTAGGATTTCTAATGGATTCCTAGTAGGATTTCTAAGATGATTTCCAGTAGGATTTCTAGGGGAATCCTAGTAGGATTTCTTGGGAAATTTCTTGGAGAATTGATTTTTCAATTACCATCAACAGTGAAAAGAAACATAAAGATCGAGAAAATTCGTGTTAGAATTATTAATCTTACTTTTTCAGTCATATTTAATAATTACAGTATATATATATATATATATATATATTTATATATATATATATATATATATATATATATATATATATATATATATATATATATATAATATGTATATATATATATATATATAACTGAAAACTCACACCCCAGAAGTGACTCGAACCCATACTCCCAGGAGCAACGCAACTGGTATGTACAAGACGCCTTAATCCACTTGACCATCACGACCGGACAAAATGAGGTGATAGCCGAGGCTATTTGAACCACCCCACCGCCGGCACTCGGATAGTAATCTTGGGCATAGCATTTTACCAAATCACCTCATTCTTTGGGGCACAAGATGGTCGTGATGGTCAAGTGGATTAAGGCGTCTTGTACATACCAGTTGCGTTGCTCCTGGGAGTATGGGTTCGAGTCACTTCTGGGGTGTGAGTTTTCAGTTGCATATTGTCCTGGGGACCATTCAGGCTTGTTCGCATTTGTGTTCCTCACGTGTGCCCCAAAGAATGAGGTGATTTGGTAAAATGCTATGCCCAAGATTACTATCCGAGTGCCGGCGGTGGGGTGGTTCAAATAGCTTAGGCTATCACCTCATTTTGTCCGGTCGTGATGGTCAAGTGGATTAAGGCGTCTTGTACATACCAGTTGCGTTGCTCCTGGGAGTATGGGTTCGAGTCACTTCTGGGGTGTGAGTTTTCAGTTGCATATTGTCCTGGGGACCATTCAGGCTTGTTCGCATTTGTGTTCCTCACGTGTGCCCCAAAGAATGAGGTGATTTGGTAAAATGCTATGCCCAAGATTACTATCCGAGTGCCGGCGGTGGGGTGGTTCAAATAGCTTAGGCTATCACCTCATTTTGTCCGGTCGTGATGGTCAAGTGGATTAAGGCGTCTTGTACATACCAGTTGCGTTGCTCCTGGGAGTATGGGTTCGAGTCACTTCTGGGGTGTGAGTTTTCAGTTGCATATTGTCCTGGGGACCATTCAGGCTTGTTCGCATTTGTGTTCCTCACGTGTGCCCCAAAGAATGAGGTGATTTGGTAAAATGCTATGCCCAAGATTACTATCCGAGTGCCGGCGGTGGGGTGGTTCAAATAGCTTAGGCTATCACCTCATTTTGTCCGGTCGTGATGGTCAAGTGGATTAAGGCGTCTTGTACATACCAGTTGCGTTGCTCCTGGGAGTATGGGTTCGAGTCACTTCTGGGGTGTGAGTTTTCAGTTGCATATTGTCCTGGGGACCATTCAGGCTTGTTCGCATATATATATATATATATATATATATATATATATATATATATATATATATATATATATATATATATATATATATATATATATATATATATATATATATATATATATATAAAATATGTATATAATATGTATATACTGTACATACATATATTTATTTTATTTATTTATTTATATACAAGAAGATACAATGGATCATTAAAATACATATGCTGGTGGGTGAGTGATACATTCTTGCACAACCACTAGCATACATAGCTGTGTACTTTACTGTATATGATAGTCCTTGACTATTGGGAATTTCATTATTAAAAATACATTGTCCAATAAAATAATAGCTCAAATATAAATTATTAATGACAATGCAAATACAAAATAAATTGTAATCAAACATTGAATTATTTTTAATGATCCTTAAGTGATAACCCATAAGAGTTAACACTAACTTTTGTAATTGTCTATGTCAATTGACAAATTGTAAAAAAAATTAATTAATTTTGTAATTTTTTTTTTTTTTTTTTTTTTTTTTTTTTTTTTTTGAGTTATATACAAGAGTTGTTACATTCTTGTACAGCCACTAGTACGCGTAGCGTTTCGGGCAAGTCCTTAATCCTATGGTCCCTGGAATACGATTCCCTGCTGCGAAGAATCGTTTTTTCATCCAAGTACACATTTTACAGTTGCGTTAAACAGAGGCTACAGTTAAATGGCCCCATAGAGCGGCAATTTTGTTTTTTTCGACTGCCGCTCTACGTCGCAGGGGTATTTTCAACTTTTAGACCGGCAATTTTGTTTTTTTCGACTGCCGCTCTACGTCGCAGGGTTATTTTCAACTTTTAGACCGGCAATTTTGTTTTTTTTCGACTGCCGCTCTACGTCGCAGGGTTATTTTCAACTTTTAGACCGGCAATTTTGTTTTTTTTCGACTGCCGCTCTACGTCGCAAGGTTATTTTCAACTTTAGACCGGCCGTTTTGGTTTTTTTCCGGGGCCTGTCTACGCACCCCTAGTTTCACGAACTTGAAGTACGACATAGACCGTTGAATATTTGCTACTGCAAATATTTATCTACCCAAACTTTCCTCTTATTCGGACACAAAAACGGGACAACTATTTTTTTCTTGAATGTGAGCGCGCGACATTTTTATGTCTGACGAACAAATAGTTCTATAATATTCAATTCTTATCCGATCGAGTTGGGGATAGTATGAAGATGTTTGCCATGAAATTTACGTTTTCTCTAATAGCCACATAGCCTATTTGCGAGAACGGAATTGTCTTGTATCTTCGTGGTAGAACTATTGTATTGTTGACACGACAAGTGTAATCGACGAAGTTTCTTTATTTGGTGCCGGTCTAACGCATCCTTGTGTGACATTTATACATATGTTCTAGAACATTCTATTGCGAACACATTGGTATAAAAATGAAATACGTACATAGAAAATTAATGTCAGGACAGTGAAAAGAATATACACTTCAATACTGGTTTCGCTGATGTGCGGTAACGGGTAACACTTAGCCCACTTCTCACACTCTTGCGGGTGGGCCGCGATCATGATTCTACATTTATATGCCTATGTCCGTGTAGAGAATTTTATTGCGATCTCAGAGATACCAAATTTAACGCTGTAGGACAAGTGTGGAGTTGACAACCCTGAAAAGAATAGAAACATTTCGTTGCTGTTTGGAGCTCATTGCTAGTGATCGATGTAGTTCTTTATTTGGTGGTGGTTTAACTCATGCTTTGATGACATTTTATACATATGTTCTTCTAGAACATTCTATTGCGAACACATTGGTACAAAAATGAAATATGTACATTGAAAATTAAGGTCAGGGCAGTGAAAAGAGTATACACTTTTTCAGTGTTTCCGCTCTATCGCCTGAAACGCTGAGAGCACTTTGCGCTAACTAGCTCATCAAGATTGTAACTTGCTTAGCTAAATGAATTGTGGGGGAATTGTTAGGCCTGTGATCTGGCTTTGTTGCTGTGGACTCTTCCCTTTCACAGTATATACTCAAATGCTCTAATCTTTCTAACAAACGTGACTTAACATAAGCTTTCCCCCTTCCATTTCTTTCTTTCTCTTTCCCTTTCTTTCTTTCTTCTCCCTTTTTCTGTTCATTGTCTTCTACGCTCCCTTGCAATCCTCTTCTTATTCCTATTACTATCTCCTTCGGTGGTTATAATAGGAGCTGCCTCGTATGGGCCAATAGGCCTGCTGCAGTTCTCATTACTACTATCCCCTACACCTGACTTTCCTCCTCAGCTCTCTCTTGCCTATTTAATGCCTGTCCCTACCTGTCCTCATCACAATCGACTTGAGAATGGTCCAGGACGGACCGAAACGTCGTCGTCCCTTCAATTTCTAGTGTGTGGTCTGGTCAACATACTTCAGCCACGTTATTGTGACTCATCGCCTGCATGTGGGGTTCAGTCCCTGAGCCCATTGTGTGCCTCTATAACCCTTTCCACTACCGCCCACAAGATGGGTATGGGGTGCATAATAAATGAACTAAACTGAACTGAACTTGCCGGGAGGAGGGAAGTGTATTAATAGAGGGCCACTAATGGCCCCAACGAGGACAGGAAGCCGGCAGATTGTCAAAGGTCCCCCCCATTTGTCTTGATGATCCTGTCTAGGTGAAATTTAAAACCTAACCAGTTTTGGCATTTACGACTTCGGTGTGTAGGTGGTTCAATAGGCTTATAACCCTGAGGGTGAAAAAGCATCTGATCTCAGTCCCCAGTTTGTTGAGTTTTAAACCGTTGCTCCTTGTTTGTGTTACATCTGACCTTTTGAAGAAATTGTCAGGATCAACATCATCCAACTTTTTAAGTACAATATTTTAAAAGTTTAAATGAAATCTGCTGTGTCATGCCTGGTTTGTAGTGTTGTTAGGCCTGTGATCCTCAACCGTTCCTGATACGAGACATGACTTGGCTAAGGAATGACTTGTTGCCCAGTGTTCACTTTCTCCAGAGCAGCTATGTCCTAATGAAGATGAGGTCTCCATGTCTGGATACAGTAGTCCAAATGTGGATGCACCAGAATATTTACAGTTGAATCAATTCCTTCTTTTCCTTAAAGTCAAAGATACGACTGATTACTCCAAGGGTTTGGTTTGCTTTTCTGACTACTGCTCCTACCTGTTGTGCAACTTTTAGTGAGTGATGGAGTAGCAACTTTTCGTCATCAATCTGCTGTAATGGAATGACATTAATTTGGTATTTGTGGCGTGGGTTGTTATGCCCCACATGCAAGGTCTTGCATTTGTCGTTATTAAAGAGCATTTGCCAGTCTTCTGACCATTTGTAGAGTTCATGTAGATCTCTCTGTAAGACTTTAATATCATTATGCTTTCCCACTTTACCACTGATCTGCGTGTCATCTACAAATTTGATGATGAGGTTTGTAATATTTTCATCTTTGTCATTAATGTGTATGACAAAAAGGGATGGCCCCACTTTTTATGCTTGTATCACACAAGGGAGATGTGTTCGAGGTTTTGAAGTGCATGGATGAATGGAATAAATTGTTCCACACCATATTGAACTTGGACCCAACTGTCAATTAGGTTAACCCATGTATATGATTCCAAAACTGTACAACCATCTTAGAACACTTGTTAGCATCATTTTTGGAAGCAAGTGATCTATTTTAGGGGGACAGGCAGAGTGTATTTACCTGAATTTACTGGATTTTAGCTGAGAGCCACTAACACACTAATGGCTTCAACGAAGACAGGATGCTGGCAACTTGTCAAAGGTCCGACATTTGCCATGATGATTTTTTCAAGCTGGACGCTACAATTTAATTGAGTTTTGGCATGAACAGCTTCGGTGGGTAGTTGGTTCCAAGGGTTTATAACCCGGTAAGTGAAGAAAACATCTGTTTTCAGTCTTACATTGTGGCTTGTTGAGTTTGACACCATTGATCCTTGTTTGTGTTACATCTGACCTTTTGAGAAAGTTGTCTGGATCAACATCCTCCAAATTGTTAAGTATTTTAAATGTTTCGATGTGATCTGCCTCGCCATGCCTGACTTGCAGTGTTAGCCCCGAGGCACTCAATCGTTCCTGGTACGAGAGTTTACTTAGCTTTGGGATGATTTTTGTCGCTTAGTGCTGTACTTTCTCCAAAGTAGCCATGTCCTTCTGAAGATGAGGTCTCCATGCTTGGATACAATAATCCAAGTTGAGGGCACACCAGAGGTTCATGCAGTTGAATCAACACCAACTTTTACTTGAAGTCCTAGGGATTGGTTAGGTCTTTTTGGTTCTGCTGCTCCCACCTGTTGTGCAACTTTCAGTGAATTGTGAATTTTGACATCAGTGTCTTTTTCTTCATCTATCTACTGCAAGGTAATGTTATTAATTTGGTAGTTGTGACGTAGGTTGTTATGCCCCACATGCAAAGTCTTGCATTTCTTGAGATTAAAAAAGCATTTGCCAGTCTAGTGACCTCTTGTCAAATTCATATACAGTAGATCACTTTGTAAGGCTTCAATATCATTTTCATTTCCCACTTTACCATAGATTTTGTCATTTGAAAATTTGATCATGTGGTTCATAATCTCATCTGTCATTGATGTATATAACAAAAAAGGGTTAGCCTGGACCCCTGTGGCACCCCACTCGCCACATTTCTCCAGCCAGATTCATTCCCATTTAACATGACTGTTTGTTGTCTTTGTTTTATCCATAATAGTATTCTACCATTTATTCCAAGTGCCCAAATTTCTTTGCTAGTTTTGCATATGGTACCTAATCAAAATCAATGTTTTCTACATCCACAGAAAGTCCTTTGTCCTAGTAGCTGGTTACCATTAACAAACATGTAAGCAGGTTTATAATAGAGGATCTATTTTAACAAAGCCATGCTGTATTGATTTTACAAGATTGCTGTGAGTTGGTGAATGATTCCTTCCCCTAGAATTGTCTCCGTGAGCTTGCAGGTGTATGATGCCAAGCTGATAGGACAGTAGTTGTTAGCTGATTTTTTTTTAATAGGGGTGACATTTGAATATTTCCAAGTTATGGTTACTATCCCTTGGTCCAGAGATTGTCTGATAAGCAGTTTCAGTGGTAGGCATAGTTCATCTGCTGGTTCCTTTATGATTTTGGATTGAATTCCATCCACACCTGGGGCTTTTGAGCCTTTTAATTTGTCAATGCTCTTGCAGATTATGTCGCACATTGTGGGTATATTTCTTAATTCATTCTCTTCACCTCCTTCAAACATTTGTGTGGGTGTTGGGATGTCATCTAACCTTTCTAGTGTGCACACTGATGTAAAGTATTCATTCTATGAGTTTGCTGCTCCTTTATCGTCCATTATAACTTGGTTAGTCTCATCTTTTATCTGTGCTACCAAGTACTGTTTTGGTTTTACTTCTTATACAGTTAAGTATAGGCATAGAACGACTTGGGATCATACTTTCTTTTGGGAAAGTTTTCTTTCATTGTTTCTTTTGGCTGATCTGATTACCTGGGTGGCTGAGTTTAGTGCCATTTTATATATATATCATAATCAACGATGTTCATAGATTTATACCTTCTCCAGAGGCTCTGCTTAGTTATCAAAGCTCATTAAACTACATGTTTCGTCCATCTAGTTCCCTTTTTTATTGATTTCTCCTTTTGGCACATATATTTTGAACGAGTTCAGGAATGACCCATTATTTATTTCCACTTAGGCTTATATCAAGGTCCGCTGGTGTTGGTATAGGATTGTAAGTGTTTGCTGTCGTCGTGTTGGACAGTAAGTGTTCGCTGTCGTTGTGTTGGACAGTAAGTGTTCGCTGTCGTCGTGTTGGACAGCAAGTGTTTGCTGTCGTCGTGTTGGACAGTAAGTGTTCGCTGTCGTTGTGTTGGACAGTAAGTGTTCGCTGTCGTCGTGTTGGACAGTAAGTGTTCGCTGTCGTTGTGTTGGACAGTAAGTGTTCGCTGTCGTTGTGTTGGACAGTAAGTGTTCGCTGTCGTTGTGTTGGACAGTAAGTGTTCGCTGTCGTTGTGTTGGACAGTAAGTGTTCCCTGTCGTCGTGTTGGACAGTAAGTGTTCCCTGTCGTCGTGTTGGACAGTAAGTGTTCCCTGTCGTCGTGTTGGACAGTAAGTGTTCGCTGTCGTCGTGTTGGACAGTAAGTGTTCGCTGTCGTCGTGTTGGACAGTAAGTGTTCGCTGGCATGTATCGTGCAAACAGAGGTGTCCCAGGACAGAGCCCCGAGGCAATCCACCCACAACACCCATTAGTGGTAGGACGGTGTTATGGGAGGTAAATTTAAACGGTCAATTTAAAGTGGTCTCTCCTAACCTACCAGAGGACCCAAAACAGAAAACGGGACAGTACGTCACCTTCGCCAGCCGCCTCCATTTTCTAGTACGACAATTTTTGGCCTTATGTAACGCCTACGATCGAAATGCGACGTTCTTTGTAGGACAGGTTGGCCTACCCAATAAATGTGTAGGTGTATTACACATTATCTAACGTAACCTACAACCTTTCTCAAGGTAGTGTATACAATGTTGTGATTATACAGTGTTGTAGTCTGTATACAGTACCTCAGGATGCCTCCCACAACAGTTAACTAACTCCCGGGTACCTACCTACCTCCACTCTTTCTTTACACCATTAAACACGACTACGGGAAGGATTGGGCTACAGGAAGGATTGGGTTACAGGAAGGATTGGGCTACAGGCAGGATTGAGCTACAGGCAGGATTGGGCTACAGGAAGGATTGGGCTACAGGAAAGATTGGGCTACAGGAAGGATTGAGCTACAGGAAGGATTGGGCTACAGGAAGGATTGGGCTACAGGAAGGATTGAACTACAGGAAGGATTGAGCTACAGGAAGGATTGGGCTATAGGAAGGATTGAGCTACAGGAAGGATTGGGCTACAGGAAAGATTGGGCTACAGGAAGGATTGGGCTACAGGAAGGATTGAGCTACAGGAAGGATTGGGCTACAGGAAAGATTGGGCTATAGGAAGGATTGAGCTACAGGAAGGATTGGGCTACAGGAAAGATTGGGCTACAGGAAGGATTAGGCTACAGGAAGGATTGAGCTACAGGAAGGATTGAGCTACAGGAAGGATTGGGCTACAGGAAAGATTGGGCTATAGGAAGGATTGAGCTACAGGAAGGATTGGGCTACAGGAAAGATTGGGCTACAGGAAGGATTGGGCTATAGGAAAGATTGGGCTACAGGAAGGATTAGGCTACAGGAAGGATTGAGCTACAGGAAGGATTGAGCTACAGGAAGGATTGGGCTACAGGAAAGATTGGGCTATAGGAAGGATTGAGCTACAGGAAGGATTGGGCTACAGGAAAGATTGGGCTACAGGAAGGATTGGGCTATAGGAAAGATTGGGCTACAGGAAGGATTGGGCTACAGGAAAGATTGGGCTACAGGAAGGATTGAGCTACAGGAAGGATTGAGCTACATCTCCAAATGTATATTTGCCAGATAATTTGGCTCTAAAAACAAAACTCATATATTATTGTTTAGACAAAATCCGCTACTCATTACTTTCCTGAAGTTGTCGTATATACACTACAAAATCTGCGTGTAAATCACGAGACAATTAACACGTGATGAAAAATGTGACAGTGTCAGACCACGAAGGAAGAACTGAAACAAGACTTTCCTTAAGTACTTTCGTATTTAATAATACATTTTCAAAAGGGTGTTTCAATTCTTCTTACGAGGTCTGACACTGTCACTACAGAACATGAATGTATTTAAACGTTGCAACAATGAATAATGAGAGCAATCATTATATGGATGGTGTAATAACAGGGGAACATTAGCGCCTCTGGTGGTCAGATGCTTAACTGTATTAGAGGTTGACAGTTTAGATATTATGGTGAAGTAAGGGTGAGTGGCGCGTCTGGGAGTCCTGCTTCTTAACGTGTGGCTCAGTTGTCGACCAGCCGCCGCCAGGCAAGGGTCATGTTGATTACCAGTGAGCAAAATAAATCTTGTGTTGCAGATATCATTTATCAATCATAATATAGAAAGGATTGTTCAGGGTGTGTACTTCATGTTGTTATTCGTTATTATTTTGTATTATATATTTAGACAAAATATAGAGGTGATTGTCAGGTGGCAGCCATAGGTGTACCCGCTAGTTAAGTCATTAGGGCGCTTGTGGTGGCCTTAATAGCCATGCCAGTAGTTAGCCATCGATCTTAAGGTTATCTTGAGATGATTTCGGGGCTTAGCGTCCCCGCGGCCCGGTCCTCGACCAGGCCTTCTTTTTCTTACACATTCCCAGGAAGCAGCCCGTAGCAGCTGTCTTACTCCCAGGTACTTATTTACTGATAGCTGAACAGGGTCATCAGGGTGAAAGAAAGTGCCCATTTGTTTCAGCCTCCACCGGGGATCGAACCCGGAACCTCAGGATTACGAATCCGAAGCGCTGTCCACTCGGCTGTCAGGCCCCTTAAAACAACCCAAAGAGAAATCTTCGACATATTTTGATGAAAATCTGAATGAAACGAGAAATTTTGGCCACAGATTGTGTGAAGATGGTGGGGGGGGGGGGTGCAGGTTAGTACGATGAGCATGATTCAGAATGATGGAAGGAGAAGGGCTCCTATGATGAATTGACCTAAGGGCCACCATCTACAGTGGCCTCGACGGGGACAGGACGGCGGCGCCTTGTCATAGGTCAGCCTTCCTACTCCCCCCCCTTATTTTATTGAGGATTTGTCTTGTGTATATTGTGAACAAAAGGAATAACTCGGCATTTACGACTTGAGTGGTTAAGCGGGTTCATTCTGTGTTACATTGTGGCTTGTTGAGCTTGAAGCTGTTGTCCAGCCTGTCTGTGTCAAATATGATATTTTAGAGAAGTGGTCTGTATTAATAGCCTCCAATTTGGTCAGTATTATAATTTTTATATATTTTTTTAATTTGTAATACTGACCAAGCTGGAGGTTATAAATACAGAACACTTCTCTAAAATACATTACAAAGTATAAAGAAATGCATTAAAATAGTATTACAAAGGCCTCGGCTGTTATTTATTTATTTATATATCTATAAGAAGTTACATTGTGTTTCTGAGAGTACATGGCATGATGTGTTTACGTTCTTGTAAAGCCACTAGTACGCATAGCGCTTCGGGCAGGTCCATAATCTAACAGATAATATTAAGTAGGTAATTTCTAGCAAAATTTATAGGCTAATCTATCAAAATCTACAACAATTTAAACATTTATAGTGTTAGTCCTTCAAAGATTCGTGGTAGTGACAGTTGAACAAGTTCTGGCATGATTCTTGTCGCTGTCTTGAACTTTCTCCAAAGCGGAAAATCATTGATATCTTTTTGAAGTGAGATTTCCATATTAGGATACAGTAGGCCAGATGGGACCACAACAGAGACTCGTACAGTTCAATATTCAATGTTGTTCGTTTAAGTCAAAGATTCGTTTAACTATTCTTAAGGATTGTTTATTTAGAATGAAATAAATTTACCAGAGGACCACCATTTCTCCATAGTGCCCTCTACGGCAACAGGAAGCCGGCGGCTTGTCAAAGGTTCCCCTATGGTTCCTGAGGAGTTTGTCTATCTGTATTTTGAGCGCGCAAACTGCTGCATTATGACATTAACGGTAGTTTGATAATATGCACAACGTGTCTTGTAGCTAAGGTAAAGGTGACATGAATGTTTAGCAACAAGTCGCCCTAGATTGTTCAGTATGTGGACGACGTTTCGGTCCTGGACTATTCTCAAGTCCACTTGAGAATGGTCCAGGACGGACCGAAACGTCGTCGTCCCTTCACCTTCTAGTGTGTGGTCTGGTCAAACTACTACAGCCACGATATTGTGGCTCCTCGCCTGCACTTAGTGTGTTAACGACTGGGGCGATGGAGTGGTCATATCAGGGCACAATAAATGTGGAAGATAATTGTTTGCATCTTGTTTACTCTGCGATGTAAAATGGTTTCACCTGTAAATGGTCATTATTGACAATGTAACCACTAGGCTTCTAACGTTAGTTTAGTGCTCATAGACCATATACTGTACTTGAGAGGTTTTAAGCATGTTATTTATATAATTTAGGCCAATACACAGCTAAATAAATTAATAATACACAGTACGTTTATCTAAGGTTAGCTAAAGGTTTGTTTTTAGTGGAAGACCCTAATAAGATAATGTGTTTCTATGTAACTTTAAAAGAACATTGATGCTTTACCATAGCCTCATGAGTCCAAGACAAAAATGTATTCCGTTAGGCTATTGCAGTCTTATCAGTCTTGCCTACTCGCTATTGTTGTTACAATCTGTAATTAATCTCCATTGCAATTTCACCTTTTCCAGTGATTGGTTCCAGTGTTCTTGAAATTCATAATTGTATTTTGCTACTCGATTGTATTTGAAATAAACTGTATATATTTATCCTGGTGCTACATAGCCTTCCTGGTTTGGTGCCTTCTTTTGATAATTACTTATACTTGCCCTTAATATATGTAAAAACTATTTTTTCAGGAGTGTGGCACGTGTGGACCAGAGAAGTCAAGGTAAAGTGCTTATTTAACAACTAGTTCTGGGGAGGAGCGGGTGGAACTAGATGGACGTAGTCAACTTCACATTCTTGTTAGCAGGCTGAGAGCTTTTCTTTCCCATAGATTTATTTATAGAAGAGTTAGCAATAAGTCGGCTGGGTTTATTCACGTGATATTTTTAGGCCCCATTTATATTATGCAGTTCAGTTTTGGTCGCCATGCTAAAGAATGGACATAATTCACTAGAACACGTCAGTTAGGATGACAAAGTTAATCCCGTAAATTAGAAAGCTTCCGTATGAAGAGATGTTGGAAAAAACTTAACGTGACATGATTGAAGTGTACAAGTGGATGAATGGGCATAACAAAGGAGTTATTGATAAGGCTTTAAATGAAGATAAGTTTAGATTTAGGAAATACCTGGGTAAATACTGGTTTGGTAACTGGGTTGTGGATTTGTGGAACAAATTACTGGATCATGTGCAGACGACGAGTCACAATAACGTGGCTGAAGTATGTTGACCAGACCACACACTAGAAGGTGAAGGGACGACGACGTTTCGGTCCGTCTTGGACCATTCCCAAGTCGATTGTGGATCATACTACTGGATCCATATCAGGCCAATAGGCCATCTGCAGTTTCTTGACTTACGTTCTACTAGTTTACACTCAGAACGCGACTCTCCAATCAGCTTACATCTGTATCCTCAATTGCTGCTAGGTGATCAAGGGCGAACATTTAACCTTGAATGTTTAATCCAAACCAAATGATGGGTAGCAAAGATGTATGATAAGGTAAAAGCTGGGTGGCGAGGCAAGTTTTGGGGTGGTGAAAACTTAGAATATTGTTCAATGTGGGTGACAAAGACTTGCTGTGAAGAGTAGGTAAAGAATAAATTGAGAGATAGGAGAATTATCTTAAGATTAGGCTTGGACTGGGTGGCATATGCATTATATATCATTAATGCACATGCCAGGGGGGGGAGATCTCCCCAAAGGCATAAACTGCTAGGTCAGGTATTCCACAAACGCATCTCCAATGACTGCAAGGTCATGGGAAGCTTGACCTTCCCATGAAGTTGGAGGATTGTTGGTGGGTTTGTGGATTTGGAATGAGGGAAGAGGCGGGCTGGATGAGGCAGTTTATATCTTTGTAAATATTTGTAATCATTTTATTTAGAGATGAGTGTGAGCAGAAATGACACACTATAGTAGTAATATTTAGTGAAGATAATAATGTATCTTCCATATGAGAAAAAATTATGCGAGGCGAAAACTTAAGTCGAGATAAAAGTAGGTTGCCAACAACTCCACAATAAAAGATTTGGTTGTGGAGGAGATTCCCGCCCGAAGGTCGGCCATCTTGGCGCGCAGATTGAACGCTCCTGGCTGGACTTTCTTTCCACACCTCGCCTGGAGCCATCTTTGAATTCAAATGGCTTTTCTGGGGGGAGCCCCGTCGGCTCCCCGGAGCTTTACCGGCTGATATGCTAATGTCAGACTTTGGCATCAGTCATGTGTATGGAGTTCTAGGGCCTACCGGGGACCACGAGCCAGAACCTGGCCCCCTCAGAGAGGCAAGGGGAGCAATGGCCTATAGAAACCCCCGTGTGGTTGGAAGCATTCTATGTCTGCCATCGACCGGGTCAAGCATCCAGAAAGGTAAGCATTCCAAAACAAACCCCTATTCTGGTGAAAATTGCTACCTAAGCCGAACTAGTGAATAGAACTCTTCAACAGAAAACAAGGAAACTAGTATGACGTCATACGTCACCGCGCCGCTGTCTGCGCAGCTCCCCCCTCCCCGGGAGGGGGAAGGGGGAGTCCCAGACCTCCCACGCCGGCTATCCATCCATCAGTTCTTCGGCTGATGCTATAGGCACCGGTTATGTGCTCCGGCTACAGTGGTTGTTTCAGCACTGTACCTAGAGTGTGGTGTCTGTTTTCTAGGTGGTGCGTGAGCCGGGTGTGATTCTTCAGTACTCGGGCTGCATGCGCCTAGGGTTCCCTTCCCTAGGTGCCCTGTAAGTACTGCCCTTGGGGCTTGGGGCCACCTTCCACTAGTTCCTTGGGTCCTGCCCCTGCTTGGCCGTTTACCGCTTGGTTTTTGGCCGCTCTTTGTGTGCTCGGGTGTTCTGTCTCCCTTGTTCGCCTTAGAGTAAGGGGCAGTGTTTGCACTGGTGGGGCGCGGGGTACTGTGCAGCTTGTCTTTACCAATCATAGCGGCCGGCTCTGTTCCGCTTGGGTACGCTGTCCTCTTGCGGGGTTTTCTTTTTCTTTTGTTTATTTACCTGGTGGGGGGGGTCTGCCTTCGTTCTTGCCCCTTGTGTCCCTTGTGTTCTGAGTATTTCTGGTGGTACCCCCTGCTAGGTCCCCGTGAGTGTACACGTCCCGGGGGTTCAGCTCTTAGAAAGTTGTTTGGTAGCTTGGGTGCCGGTTAGCAGTACCCTGCCTGGGATTACCTGAGCGCGAGTCCTCTTAAAGTAAACGCTCGGGACCCTGGGAAACCCCTGGGGGCGCGCGGGTCCGATGGATGTGACCCCAGAGCCCCCCCCTCGCTTCCAGCGAGTTTGAGGGTTGCTCTCACCTTTTGTCTCTGGGTGACTCTCTGTTTTGCCTCCGTCTGCTGCCTGTGGGGTCGGTGACACCTTCGACCCGGTGTCCTGCGAGTTTGGTTGCTCGTTGTGGCTCGGTTACCCAGTTGTGCTAACAAAGCGGGTGCGGGCAGCAGGGGCGTTGCACTTGAGCCTTGGTGGTGGCAACGTTCTCGTGGTTTCCTCCCCGGGAGCCCCGGGGCTGCCCCGTTGTATTTCGTTTTGGGACTTGGGGGTGTTGGTTGCTTCGGTTCCATCCACGCCCCCTTGTCTTTCCCCTGGTTCACCCTTCCTTCCTGCATCCGGTTCCTTACCGTCTGTAGGTTCAGGGCGGGGTTTTTGGGGGTGTTGAGACTCGGGCAGTCTCGGGGAATTCCCCTTCCGGGGTAGTGACGGGGGCATTTGGGCCTGTTCCTCCAGCCGTGTTGTATGAGTCTGCCAGTGGGCTCCCTTCCTTAGTGTTTTCACGGCTGCCCCGGTTTTCTGGTACGGCCGGGGCTTTGGGGGAACGGCTCGGCCCCGGGGCCTGTCGTGTAGGTTCCCGGGGCTGGGGAGGGGCTGACTTGGGGGGGCCTTGGCCCCGTTAGACCCCGTGGGGGTTTTTATCCCCCTCTAGGCGGGGCTTGTGGTTACTCGGAGTGGGGTCTTTCCTCCCCACTCGCCGTACGTGCTGTTGGACGTCGGCCCCTCCCCGGGCTCGGTTCCTTGGCCTTTGAGTCGGTTGGTTCCGTCCTGTGGGTGGATGTTTCCTCCCCCGCTTTTTGGGACGGTGTTTTGTCATGTTTCCCCGTTCGATGGGGTTCTGCGTGACTTTTGATCTCGGGTGCGCCTGCGCCTTCGTGTGCCTTCGGGACTAGTGTTGGCTTCTGTGTTCTCGAGGGTACGGGAAGGTTTTTCGCTACTTCCCGCATTATTGGAACGTCTGTCGGCTCCTAGTACTTGTCGCCCTGTTGGGCTACTTGTCGCCTTGTCGCCCGGTTGGGCTACTTGTCGCCCGGTTGGGCTGCTTGTCGCCCTGTTGGGCTGCTTGTCGCCCGGTTGGGCTACTTGTCGCCCGGTTGGTCTACTTGTCGCCCGGTTGGGCTGCTTGTCGCCCGGTTGGGCTACTTGTCGCCCGGTTGGGCTACTTGTCGCCCGGTTGGGCTACTTGTCGCCCGGTTGGGCTGCTTGTCGCCCGGTTGGGCTGCTTGTCGCCCGGTTGGGCTGCTTGTCGCCCGGTTGGGCTACTTGTCGCCCGGTTGGGTTCCCTTTTTTTTTGGGCTCTTTGCTTCTTTGGCCGGTTTTATTGTTCCTGCTTCCTCTTTTGGCTCCTTTTCTCGTGCAGTAGTCCTGGCTGGCGCCTTCCCGCAGGGAGGGTGTGCGGTTCGGCCAGCGTGTTATGCGCATGCGCCGTGGAGTTTGTTTTGGTCTGGGCGGTGTTTCAGTGCTGGTGTTTTGCGCCCTTTTTTGCTACAGTGCTTCGCCTCTCGTTCTTCTCCCTGGCTGCGGTATGTGCCCCTTCGCGCCGGGGGTGTCCTGGTTCCCAGTTGTGGGGAGGACACCGCGGTTTTCCCTGTGTCATGGGTGTGGACCGCCTCCTTCGCCTCTCCCTGCTCTCCTGCGGGTCCGGCAGGGTCCGGCTCTGGCGTCTTCACCTGGCGGTGCTCCCAAGTTCTTCTGGGCACGGTTGAGTCGTGTCAAGTTCGTGCCACCATTCGCCAGGTGAGTTTCTGCGGTCTGGCGTCTTTTGGCCGGGCGCTGGATGCGGCGGTGTTTATATACCTGTCTTTATTTAGGTATATTTTTGTACGACTGAGACCGTTCGCACACCAGTGACTGTCCCTTTATCACCCCTTCCTGTCCCCCTCATGTGCATGTCCAACCCATGCTGGAGTCATTCAGGGGACCCTCCTTTTTTAATGTTGTGAGGTGTGGGGGTTGTAGGGTTGGTTCTGTACTCACCTGGTAAGGCTCCTGACTGTGCTTGCAGGATTTGAGCTCTGGCTCTTGGGTCCCGCCTATCTGGTAGAACTTGCGGGATAGTACCAGTGGAGTGCAGTGGTGCTATTGGCACTTTTGGGGAACACTGTATTACCATCAGAGGTCTGTGCTTGTTACACGACCTACTTGCGAGCATAAGCCTTCTTGCTGGTTCGTCCGTGGACTTCCAGGGCGCACTGGCCTGTTTTCGTATGGCAGTTCCGGCCCGTCCTGGTTGTGGGGGTATGTGGGCCGGTGGACTGCTCCTAGCAGCTGCCTGGTGGGCCATCCTCTGGCCGGTCTAGCCTGACCTTGGGCCGGGCTTGAGGTGTAAAAGAGCTCCCAGTACCTCATCCAGCAGGTATCGAGCGGGGTTTCTCCGCCGTCGGTCGCCTGGTGCAGGTTTCTGGGCCTGCAGGGTTTTGTCGTGTCTCCGTTGGCCCTGTCTGGGGTCTGCCTGCT